TAACATGAGATGCACACAGGTGTATCTCAGAATATGAAGTTTCTGGGAAAAGTAACCCATTGCCATCCTCCTGTTACCATTTAACACTCAAGAATACTTGAAGTTTCTAAAATAGCATACCTTTTTCAGAGGAAATTTGCTTGATCAAGTACACGTGGAAGTCAATATAGTAACCATATAATTGAGATCTGAGCTGGTGAACTGAAATAAGCTTTCAGCTTTTTCCTCTTTTTCCTTGAGAGGCTATTAGGTACTAATTACATTTATCAAAGTTATCTTTATTATAACCTATCCTTCAATTAATATAAGCTTTAGTATATATCAGATAAGGCTATTTTAATTTTAACTCTACAGATAGCATAAGAAAACCTTTTAATAACTTGTAAAGGAAATATAAGCAGTATTCAGTCACTATGTCTCACATCTTCCCAGAAAAAAGTTAATTTAGTCCTTAGAAAAAAGACAAAACCTGCTTTTTTTTGACCTGCTCATTTGCATACTCCCTTGTGCCTGGTAGTCTACAGCAAACTACTGTAAATCTTATCCTGCATAAATTGCATTAAACTTCATAGCCACCATTGCTATCTTTTCTGATCCATGCCAAGTTATTTTTCCATTCTTTCAAAGAAATGTACAGCCTGCCCTTGTATAGGCTTGACTTCCTCATAGAAAGCTGCTATCGCCTGTGCTTTTAATGTATGGAAAGTAACCTTCTAAAAGTAGGCAACTATTACTTTTACCGTCTAGCTTCTGGAGACTCTGAATATTGGGTCAATTCAAACATCCCTTAATACTGTACTTCACATACATTAAAAACAAACAAACAAACAAACAACCCAACAAACACACAAATGAAAAAAAAAGGAAGCAGCAACAGCAGGGCTGTTCCCCCAGGAAATAAAACACAGACCAACAGCCTCACCAACAGTCGTGGTTTAAAACCAGTCAGGCATCTCATTCACTCACTCCCCCCCTTCTTTCCCTCCCCCTACTCCCAGAGGGACAGAGAGGAGAACCGAAAAGAATGCAACTCCCACGGGTTGGGATAAGAACAGTTTGATAATTAAGGTATAACACAAATCACTACTGCTACCACCAATAATAATAATGATAAGAGAAATAACAAGGGAAGAGAATACAACAACTCACCACCGGCCAACCAATAACTCGCCCCCCCAGCCCGACCAATCATCGACCGATACCTAGTCCAACCCCACAGTGTACTAGCCCTTCTGCGTAACTCTCAGTTATATCCTGAGCATGACGTGCTGTGGTATGGAATACTTTTTTGGTCAGTTTGGGTCAGGTGTCCTGTCTCTGCTTCCTTCCAGCTCTCCCTCCTCCCTGGCAGAGCATGAGGCTCACAAAGTCCTTGGCCAGACTAAAACATTCGAGCAGTAACTAAAAACATCGATTCTATCAGCACCATTCCCAGGCTGAAAGTCAAAAACACAGCACTGCACCAGCTACTAAGAAGGAGAAAAAATAACTGCTACTGCTAAACGCAGGACAGTATCTACTCCTTATTCCATACCATTCACATCATTCACGCCCATATTTTCAATATACCATCACTCTTACCTCAGTGCACTCTTATCTTAGTGCATGGACAAGTCCCTATAAAGCTGCTGAGTCCATCTGGTCCATGATGTCAGGCTCCATCTCTTGTAACAGTCCTTCAGAGCAGGAGAGGCTGCGTGCAGTGTTCACACTCGTGAATCACCTAGGCAACAGTGTCCATTGGTAAGTCCACCAGTCGATCATGCATCCATCTTTATGTTACATTTCTGCTCTGTTGGCCTGAAGTGCCATGGGTCCACCAGGCTCAAAATAATTCACTGTCCCCTTCAGCAGTTTCTGCAGCTTGTTGCTGGGGACTCCATACAGCTGCCTTCCATCTCCGACACCTCCAAAGCACTGGAGGGGCCCAGTAGACTCGATACAGACATGGTTTGCATTAGAGTCATTTATTTTTTACTGGAAGCTGTTCTATTACACAAGCATTCTGATGCGAGGAATAGTAACGGACTATGGAAAGGGTTAAAAGTTTTCTTCAAACTATGTATTGGTTGTCTTAACTTAGTATAGGGAATAGGTATGTTCTTGTTCTTGCTAATCTTGTGATTAAACTGTAACTCAGAATAGAATAGGTAGCCAAAACACACTGTTTAAAATCAGGGACCCTTTTCCCTCAAGAAGGTGAATGTCTGACAAGAACCTGTTTCAACTAGTCTCTATAAGTCTTGAGGTTGGCAGCTGGGGAAACTGTGCCAAGGGTGAAAAGTGCATGATGAGGAAGACCTCTTACTTCGTCCAGGAGACCCTGGCCAAAGACCACCAGATGGCAGTGCGCAGGCAGGGGTTGGGAGGGGGTGGGGGGAGGGAATGATATTAATGAGTTCTTGGAACTAATTGTAATAATCTCCTCCTATGCTTGTGAAATCTGATGAATATGTATTTCTGTGTGTAATAAATATCCAGCTTGTTGAACTTTCAGTGTGCCAGTTAGGAGGAGCGATCACCCTCGCACCCGGCTCCACAATAAACATACCTGCTTTATAACTCTTTGTGAGTTATGAAGTTCTGTTCTGTAAATCCATTCTTTAAGTATATATTTTTTTTTTACTTTTCTGAGATGTTTTATCATAGAATCATAGAATGGTTATGGTTGGAAAGAACCTTAAGATCATCTTGTTCCAACCCCCTTGCCATGGGCAAGGACACGTCACACTAAACCATGTCACCCAAGACTCCATCCTACATCATGTACTACACATTCCTGGTGGACCAGTTTCCCTGGTCTTGCAGCCAGCTCCTCAAATGCATCTGCAGGAATCCTTGGGCAGCAATACCTCACTCCAATCCTCTGGATAATGGATTTAAGAGCCTTATTTCAGCTCTTTCCCACTCATGCCTCAGGCAATGGAAGGTGGAGTCCCATTTGAGCTCCTCACACCCTTCTCCCAGGCAACGGGCACTGGAATCTTATCTCAACTCCTCCCACCCATCTCTGAGACAATGAACTGGTAGAATTCCATCTCAGCTTCTCCTACCAATCTTTGAGACAATGAACAGTGGAGATGGATTTCAGATCTGTCTCTCACAGCTGGCAGCGCACACTGAAGCTGGCTCATGTTAAGTTTCTCATAGACCAACACCCCCAAGTCCTTCTCTGCAGGGCTGCTCCGAATCTCTTCCCTGCCCAGCCTGTAGCTGTACCTAGGATTGCCCTGACTCAGGTGTAGGACCTTGCACCTGGCTTGGTTAAATTTCATGAGACTGTCACTGGCCAAATTTTTTCCAGTCATCAGGAACTTCACCTGACTGCCATGACTTTTCAAATATCATGGACAGTGGCTTAGCAACTTCATCCACCAGCTCCTTCAGGACCCAAGGACGGATTTCATCAGGTCCTATGGACTTGTGCACATTCAGGTTCTTGAGATGATCTCGAACCTGATCCTCTCCTACAGTGGGCCTAAAGTCTTCATTTTCACAGTCCCTGTATCTCTGATTCAGAGAAAACTCCAGGAACAAACTCGCAAACAGTTTCAAGTTGACAAGCAGGTATTCTTTATTGCAGCGCCGGGAGACACAGGGGATAGCTCCTCCTAACGTGTGTCCCGGTATTGCTGTACAGGCCATCCTTATATATGAGGCTACACATGAATTACATCATTTTCCAGAAAGTTTCCGGCATGCATACAAAAATGTGGTGGTCTTTAAGGGTCGTTTACTTTTCCCAACAAGCTTAATTAACATTACAGACATAGCAATCATCTGCTCTTCTACTTATCAGTTAGTTTAACTGCTCCCATCCTGGACATCAGCTAGTCCCAGACACTCCCCAGTAGATGTTTACACCAGTTTAATGGCTTTATTACATAAAACCACAAACATAGCAATCATCCTGTCCTTCTACTTATCAGTTAGTTTAACTGTGCCCGCGCTAGACATCTGCTAGTCCCAGATACTCCCCATTCCCAGGTCCTGTTTTTCTGTTCTGCTTTTCTTACACCTTTTGTACTAAGGTCCTAAGGACCTGAAACTATGTCAACTACCTTCAAGCACCATAGTTAGTTTCCATTACAAAGCCATCAAACTTAAAATTGCTTAGAACTGATTACATTTTGTGCTTTTGTGCCTCCTCCTCTCAGTATTGACTATGAAATCTAAGCCTCAGATTAGATGCCTTTAATTTTACATAAAGGAAGCCATTTAGATTGAAAATACTTGAAATTTGGGATGATGAGATATTTTTTTCAAATAGTGCATTAGGCAATACCTGATGCCTTAAAATGTTCACATCTCTGCCTTCAAATATTGATTTTGCATGCAACTAGGCATGTTATAGGAAAAGGTGTTTTTTTCTAAGTGTTAAACTAAAACAATATCCATTCTTTTCAGGCTTTCTTTTGATTTAATTCTTTGTTTTGGAAAATTTGGTCTAGGAAGCTTTTTTGCTTCTGAGTTCAAGGCCTAAACAGGACCCTCCTCTTTTCAGAAACGCAAAAGTTGAAAGAATATTGAAAGTCCTAGTTAAAGACAGTGTAAAGGTACTATGACAAAGTGACAAATTGTATTGATGTAGTGATTAATGGCAGTCTGCTTTGCTGATGTAACATTTTTGTGGAGTGACCCATTCTTAAAGCCCTGTATCTTTCTACCTTGAGCCTGCAGCACCTCTCTGGCTCCCCTGCAGGCTGCCTGCACCAGACAGTCCAGGAATTGTGGTCTTCATCAGGCATGTCCCTGTCTGGATTCTACTACCCCATTTTCAGTTTGGTCAGGTACCACTACAAGAATATAGACTAAGATTTCAATGCTATTTCTTTAACAAATGACACCTATTACTTTTGAAAACCTCTATCAGTGAGAAGTTGTTATGATGGGTAATTTCTGCAGTGCTGACAGTAGCATCAATACTTTCCCTCCTCCCACCCAAGACCTCTACATCTCTTACAGCTGTTTTTACACTGTTGTGATATTGATACAGGGTTAACCAATGTACAAGAGGGTTAGAGGAATTCGCTTGCTTAAACAAAAGTATTGTCTGCTGTAAATACCTATCATGCCTACTAAGCAGAACAAAGGCACTAACCATTGATAAGGAAAAGCAGACACCTGGTTCTATTGATAAGGAAAAGCAGATGCCTGATTCTACTGATAAGGGGGAGAAGCAGATGGTTTATGGCTGGGACACTGACCAAACCCTAAGGCCATATGTGAAGACTAAAAGGTGAAAAGTTTATGAAGAGGAAGACTCATTTACTTCATCTTGAAGACCCCTACCCACAGGAGGAAGACTCATTTACTTCATCTTGAGACCCCTGCCCATGACCAGAGGGGGGCACTGCGCAGGCGCAAAGGACCTTCTAGCTCATTATAATACGAAGTGGGGATAGATACTAAATATGTATAGGCATATCGAGTAATCTAATGCATATGTATACCTTAAGACAATAAATATAGAGGGAAAAATGACCCTGGGTGTGCATACTTTGGAGAAGCTATCCCCATGCACCTCAGCGCTGAATAAAAGCATACCTACTTTACAACTTTAACGAGTTGTGGGGTCAATCCACGTATCAATTTAGTGAGCCAGCCAGGAGGTCTCTGTTCGGCTGCAGGATCAGCTGAGGGGCGGACATCTTAGGTGCCCTAGGTCACTTGCCTGGAGGAGCTCCACTTCTCATCAGCTCACTGCAGGGACAGACAACAACCTGTGCTGGCTGCGGAGAAACAGTATGCTTGGAATTTAGGCAATTTAGGGGCCTGTAAGGTGTACGCATGGCCTGGGGCTGCTGGTAAGGTACACAGAGACATCTGGCACAGCAAAGTTCTCCTTGGCAGGTAGGGCTTGCAAGCAGGGGGCTTGTCCACCGATAGAGTGGCTGCGAGTGATCCTGAAGGTGGATCGGCCGAGTCTGGGTTTTCGCTGCACCCCAAGTTTTGGGAGCCAGGACGGACCTGCTAAGGGAAGCAGGTGAAGGGTAGGTGAACCCACCAGGTCTCCACTGCATCTCAAATTCTGGGAACCACGACGGACCTGCTACCATAAGAAGCAGGAGAAGGGTAAGCGGAACCATAGTGTGAGTGTGTGGGATCCCGTGTGTGCTTGTGTTTCTGTGTGACTGAGACGTAGCATAGCTACGAAGCGAGTGTGGAGTCCGAATCTGCAGTTCCGTGTCTCCGCGAGGGGAGTGGCTGGTGATGGACAAAGCGTTTATGTTTTTCTGCCCTGTGTCTTATCTGTGTATAATCATTAAGGAGCTTAGAAAGTGGGGGAAGGTCCGGCTACCCCTCCCACAGTGGATAGCTTTACAAAATACAAGGGCAAGGGAATTCCCTATGTGCCTTGTGGGAGTGTAACTGTATATGCCGGGTGGCATTTCACGTGGATATTGTGGGAGTATGTGCCCTGTGGAGTGTAACTGTATGTGACGGGTGGCATTTCACATGGAGATTGTGGCAGTGCTTTTGGTGTAGATTCCACTTTTATAGCCACTCAGGGTATCAGTGGGGCAGATACTGCTTGGGGTGTCTTACGAAACACTGGTGGGTGGGAAATTATAGTTACCCAATCGGTTATTCTCTGGGACCAGAAATAAAAAGATTACTTTGTGGAGAAAAGCCACAAAATCATGAAGGACTTCTGGGAAGTTAAAAAGGAAAACTGAGACAGGGTTTGTAAAAAGTATCAAAGAAAATTTGAGGAGACGTGGTTACAAAGGAGAAAGTAAAATGGGAATAAACCAAAGTAAAGAAATATTAAGAAAGAGCCCCTTAGAGTGTATTTTGGTACAGTGGAAGAAATTACAGGACCCGGGGGCATGGAAGATAAGAGAACCCTGATTAAGTACTGTAATACTCTCTATTAATTAGAAGACGGGGCAAAGTGGCCACTTAATGGGACATTGGATTATACTATGTTACAACTAATGTTATTTTTAAGAAGGGAAGGGAAGCGGGGTGAAGTATCATATGCAGATATGTTCTTCACTCTCCAAAACCACCTGGAATGGCAGAGAGCCTGTGGAATGGTGCCGCCCCAGGATCCCTTGGTGTTGGCCCTGGAAAGGGATAGGACAGAAAATTGAAACAAGCCCAAGTGATGTTGTTCATCATGCAATATTGGTCAAAGGTGCACTAAACATGATAAAATTCACCAAGATACAGATCAGGAATTAATAGATATATTCAGACCCCCACCCAAAAGACAGGAGAATATGGATTCGGACAATGCCGTTACTCCTCCAGGGGGTCCGGTCTCCTCGTGAACCCAGCAGAAGCCTGTCTTGCAGGCACCTCTTAGAGAGGCAATAGGACCTGAAGGAACTACGATGCTAATAAAAGTACCCTTTTCTACCCTGGATCTGGAAACATGGAAAAAGGTTGCAAAGGATTACTGTAATGACCTTGTAGGCATTACAAAACATTTGCAATTCCTAGTGAAACAACATAATCCAGATTGGAATGGCATACAGTTGCTGCTAGAAGCAATGGCAGAAACAGAGAAACAATTAATATTAAAACCAGCAGCGAATCTAGCTGAGGTCTACTATCGAGTAAAACAGCAAGATGTAAAGGAGATTTTTCCGCTTCAAGACCCGAAGTGGGACCCAAATTGATCAGCAGAGCGAGAAAGATTGCAGGCGTACCAAGAATGGATTATTAAAGGGGTAGAAAGGACCATCCCAAAAACTATAAATTGGTCAGTCTTGTAAGGGGTAAAGCAGGGCCCCTTAGAATCGCCATCTGAATTCCTAGATCGATTGAGGGAAGCAATGCGCCGTAATACACCACTAGATCAGGGCTCAGAGGTGGGAATAATTAGTGTCTCTCTTTTTGGGACAATCCATGGGGGATATTAGGAAAAAACTTCAAAAATTGTGACCAACGGAGGGAAGAAATTTAGAAGTCCTCTTGGATGAAGCATGGCGAGCATTTAGTAATCGGGAGGAAAGTTACAAACAAGGACTGCGGAGATTAGTGGCAGTAGTGGAAGAAGGGGGAAGAAGGGAACAAAGACAAGGGCCCCAACTAGGTAAAGATCAGCGTGCATTGTGCAAGAAATTTGGACACTGGAAGAGTGAATGTCCGGAAAATAAAACAAACGGCCATACAAACAAAATCAGACAGGGGAGGGTGATCACACATGTGAAAGAAGACTGACGAGAACTGGGGGAATCTTCCCTAGCAGATCCACTGGTTATAATGAAGCTAGGGGATAAAGAAAAGGAGGTCGAATTTTTGGTCGACATGGGCACAACGTATTCGGTTTTAAATAAAGCCCTGATACCCTTAGGGAATGAATATATTACTGTAAAAGGAGCAACTGGCCAAAGTGAAAAGGTGTATTTTTGCAAACCATTAAAATACCAACTAGGAAAACAATGGGGCAGTCACAAATTTGTATATATGCCCAACTCCCCAAAGGCTCTCTTGGGGAGCGACTTATTAGAACAGCTGGGGGCAGTCATCACCTTCAATGAAGGCGAGATCACCGTAAAGGTAAATGACCAACAATACATAGAAGCGTTAAGTTTAATTCTAATTACACATCAAACAGGGGAAAAGATTAGAGAGGATGTATTAGACCAAGTATTTCCAGGAGTATGGGCTACAGATATACCTGGAAAAGCCAAAAATGCACCCCCGATACAGCTCAAGCTCAAGGAAGGAAAACAGTCAGTCAGAGTCAAACAATACCCTTTGAAAAAGGAAGACAGGGAAGGAATCGGCCCAATAATTGAAAACTTCTTGCAGCTGTGACTATTAAAGGAGTGCCTGTCTGATTTCAACACCCCTATTTTACCGGTCCGTAAACCTGATGGGACATACCAGATAGTGCAGGACTTACGAGCTGTCAACAAAGTAACTGAGGATCTTTACCCAGTGGTAGTAAATCCATATACCCTGTTAACATGCCTGACACCAGAGCTAACTTGGTTTACTGTTTTAGATTTGAAAGATGCCTTCTTTTGCCTCCCTCTCCATGAAGCCAGCCATAAAATTTTTTCATTTGAATGGGAAAACCCTAGGAGTGGACGCAGAACTCACCTCACATGGACAGTGCTGCCTCAGGGACTTAAAAACAGTCCCACCCTGTTTGGAGAACAACTGGCAAAAGATTTAGAATCCTGGGAGGCCCCATCTGAAAAAGGGAAAATATTGCAGTATGTAGATGACACCTTAATCACTACCCAGACAGAGGAAGCTTGTATGGCCTGGACGGTAAGCCTTTTAAATTTTCTAGGACTTCAGGGATACAGGGTATCCAAGAAAAAGGCCCAAATAGTGAAACAAAAAGTAATTTACCTGGGATATGAGATAAGTGCTGGACAATGAACTTTGGGACAGAACCATAAAGAGACAATATGCCAAACCCCAAAGCCTCAGACAATAGAAGAACTATGAAACTTCCTGGGAATGACAGGATGGTGTAGGCTGTGGATCTACAACTATGGGTTGCATGTAAAGCCTCTATATGCACTCATTGCTGATGGAAACAGATCTTCAGTGGACAAAAGAGGCTACTCAGGCCTTCAACCAACTAAAGGATGCCCTTATATCAACTCCGGCCCTAGGAATTCCAAATGTGAGTAAACCATTCTTTTTGTTTTCTCACGAGAGACAGAGAATTGCCTTGGGAATACTAGCTCAGAACTTGAGCCCATATTGGCGAGCAGTTGCTTATTTTTCTACGCAATTGGACTCTACGGCTAGAGGATGGCCTGGGTGCCTTAGAGCCGTGCCAGCAGTTGTGCTAAATATTTAAGAAGCAAGCAAATTCACTCAGGGCCAGAAAATAACAGTGCTAGTGTCCCATACAGTGTCTGCAGTACTGGAGATAAAAGGTGGGCATTGGGTTTCCTATCAGAGGTTCTTGAGATATCAAGCTATCATGGTGGAACAAGATGATATAGAAATAGTAACAAGTAACATTGTCAACCCAGCTTCTTTCCTCAGCGGAAACAAAGGAGAACCTATACATGATCCCTGCCCATGGCAGGGGGGGTTGGAACTTGATGGTCTTAAGGTCCTTTCCAACCCTAAAGATTCTATGATTCTATGATGATTGCCTGAAAACCATTGAGGACACATATTCCAGCCATCCAGACCTGAAAGGTACCCCTTTGGACAATGCAGAAACCTGGTTTGCTGATGGAAGCAGCTATGTCATCAGTGGAAAGTGACATGCTGGATATGCGATCACCATTTGCAGAGAAGTAATAGAATCTGGATCACTGCCAACAAACACCTCTGCACAAAAGGCAGAACTGATCACTCTAACTAGAGCTCTGGAACTAGCAAAAGGAAAAAATATAAACATCTATACAGACTCAAGATATGCGTTTGGAGTTGTGCATGCACACGGAGCTATTTGGAAAGAAAGAGGACTGTTGGATTCACAAGGGAAAAACATCAAACATGCACAGGAGATAGTGAGATTGTTGGAAGCAGTCCAGCTGCCTGAGAAGATCGCAATTATGCACATTAAGGCACACCAGAAGGTGAGCTTGATGCAGGAAGAAGGAAATGAGCTGGTGGACAGAGAGGCAAAAGAAGCAGCAAAAGGAGAGGTAATTATTGAAGGAGCCTTAATTTCTGATGGGAACATTCCTTTAGAAGGTAAGCCAAATTACAATAAGGAAGATCAGAAATTAATCACAGATCAGGATGGAATACTAAATAAGGAGGGGTGGGCTCGCACACCGCAACGGAAAATAACTGTTCCCTCCTCTTTGTTATGGGCCCTTATAAAAAATGAGCATCAGAAAACAGATTGGGGAACGGATGTCTTACATAAAGACTTAATAAACAAAATCATAGCTAGAAATTTGTATGCTACCATCCAACAAGTAACTCAACAGTGTGATCTTTGCCTTCAAACAAACCCCAAAATTACTCCCAAACTTAAATTAGGCCAAACTGGCAGAGGTAATGGAGCAGGCCAACAATGGCAGATTGACTTCATGGAACTGCCAAGAAAAAGGGGGTATAGACGTTTGTTGGTACTAACAGACACCTTTTCAGGTTGGCCAGAAGCCTTTCCAACTAGAAGCACACAAGCCTGGGAGGTAACAAAGATACTGTTACAGGAAATAATACCACGATATGGAGTTCCAGCCACTATGTCTTCAGACAGAGGACCACATTTTGTTTCAAAAGTGGTACAACAAATTAACAAACATTTAGGTATTGATTGGCAACTTCATACTCCCTACCACCCTCAATCAAGTGGTCAGGTGGAGAAAATGAACCATCTAATTAAACAAGAAATTGTGAAATTGGGTCAGGAGGCCAGTCTACCTTGGCCCCAGACACTTCCATTAGCTCTGTTGAGAATTCAAACTAAACCAAGAACTCGAGAAAGGTTGAGTCCTTTGGAAATTCTGTATGGAAGACCATATGGAGTCCAACAGGGAATGTCTCTCCAAGTGGGAGAAGAGACTATGAATAACTATATAATAGAGTAGGAAAACAACTCAGGAAAATTGAAAAACATGTGGCTGGAACTCAAAACAGAGGACTGGATAATCCCACACATACTATACAACCTGGGGATTATGTGTATACAAAATCTTTCAGACCCACAGGGGAAGAAGATCTCGAACCAAGGTGGAAAGGGCCGTTCCAAGTACTACTCACAACTTTCACAGCTATCAAAATTAGAGAACAAAACATCTGGATTCACCATACTCAAGAAGGCTCCAAAGGCTCCCTGGAAAATCACATCAA